CTAGCCTAGATCTCGTTCATAATACTCTTCTGACATATCCTACTCATCATAGATCGACAGATATATACAAAAAAAAAAAAAAAAAGGAAGTAGTCCTCTTTTATTTTTATTTTATTTTTTATCTGTTGATTAGGGCCGGAGGAAAGTATTGTTGGGTTGGTTACCTACCTACGTTTTCCCTCCCACCTACCCCTTGCATGCATCCCGGTTCGGTACAGTGCCACGTCAGCAGCGCCACGTCACAATGCCAGATCAGCAGTGCCACGTCACAGTGCCAGGTCAGCAGTGCCATGTCACAGTGCCAGATCAGCAGTGCCACATCAGCAGTGCCAGGTCACAGTGCCATGTCAGACTCAGTGCCACATCAGCAGTGACGTCAGACAGTGCCACGTAAGCAGTGCCACATCAGCAGTGCCACGTCAAACACAGTGCCACGTAAGCAGTGCCACATCAGCAGTGCCACGTCAGACAGTGCCACGTAAGCAGTGCCACGTCAGACAAAGTGCCACGTCAGCAGTGCCACGTCAGCAGTGCCACGTCAGCAGTGCCACGTCAGCAGTGCCACGTCAGCAACATGACGGGCCTGCCAGGCCAACTGGCCAATGAGCCCATTGCCGACTACAWAAAGCRCGTCCATGCTCAGCTCGCTGCAATCGAGGCTGAGGAACAACGCCAGCTGGCAGTCAAGGCTGCCCAGCTACAGGCTGATGAAGCGGCAACAGCAGAGAAGCTGCGGCTACAGGCCGAAGCAGACGCAGATGCCCAGGCTCGCCGCAAGGAAGCCCAGGCTCTGCTGCAGCGGCATGAAGCCAACAGCATCGAGAAACTCAAGTACTGGCACTTTGAACCAAACGACGACGAGCCAACACCGGAAGAGCAGCATAAGGAGTTCATGGCCAAGCTCGTGAGCAGGTTGGTTTACACATGTAACCACCTACAGTCCGAGCTGGCAAACCTCCAGCGGGCCGTGCGGAACCAAAAGACTCAGCACGAGGATGCCACACGGGCACTGGACGCCCGTGTACATGACTTGGAACAAGTTCCACCAAGACAAGATGCTGGAGAAGTTCCACCAAGACAAGATGCTGGAGCTTCCAGCAGTGCATCCTCTAGCCGCCAACTGGAGGAACGCGTTGACCACGTAGTGGCAATGCTCGGCGACATCAGCACCTTTGCTGCGCCAACCACCGTCAGCAGTCAGCTGCATACCTTGAAGACCGAGTTCCAGCAGCTGCAGTCAGCGAACGCGGATGATAATCCGAAGATGTACAAGATGTCAACTTTCCAACTGGACAAGTTCGACGACTACGCACAGCAGAATCCGGTCCTCTGGTGGGAGGCATTCACAACGCAACTCAGGATTCTGCCTGTCGCCAAGCACGCGTACATCGGCGCCCTCTTCCTATCTCAAAGGGCGGATGCCAGACCTGGTTGAGCCACCTGGCAACCTCTCATGGCGTCGACGTACCGAACTTGAAGAATAAAATCACATGGGAGGAACTGACACGGCTGTGGAAGAAGCGGTTCATCGTCGACGATGCGCCGGCTCTTGCCATCAACCGTCTGTTCACCATGTCACAAGGCAACACTGCAACACGGGATTGGCTCACGGAGTGGCAGAAGATTGCGGCGGTGCCCAATCTGGAATTGGCATTCACGCATCTACGCCGTGAGTTCTACAGCAGGTCCTGTGCTGCATTGAGCCAGGCTCTTGGTGATCGCGAGCAGTACTCAACCTTTGCCGAGATTATTGACAAAGCAAGGGAGATCATCAAGACCAACAGGTCAGCTGCACACGAGAAGTCACCATGGCAGCCGACCTATGTGGAGAAGGTACGAACTGGTCCGCGACAGCAGCACTTCGCTGCAGTCCAGCAGGACAGTGGAGATAACCCAGCAGCCACTCCAACATCAAGTGACGGAGATCAGGTGGCTGCTATCCAGCCGCGAAGCAACAACAAGTCCCGCAACAATGGGAAGGCGAAATCCGCATCGCAGGCAGGAAATGGACAGCCAGTACAAGTTCCATGGGTCAAGTTTGGCTTGACCGAGGCGGAGTACAAGGTCTGCGGCCGCTACGACAGCTGATATTGGTGCAACAGCACCAAGCACAAGACCTCCCTGTGCCAGGATCAGGGCAAGGAGGATGTGCGACCCCGCCTCAGCTCGGGAAACTGAGCTCCGCGGAAGGTGAGGCGACTCCACCTTCTACTCCGCCAGATTCGGCCGCCTTGCTAGCGGCCTCCTGCACATCTGGGGAGAACGCGAATGTCGCAAGTTCTCGTTACACTTACGAGGACTATGTTGTCCACTTGGTTCCACCGCTGGACCAACCGCTCCACGTGCAACAATCTACCGCATGCACGGTTTCATCACCATCGGCAACCGATTCGGCAGCTTCGCCACCATCTATCGTCGGGGATTCATCGTCGTGGTCAAGACTTGAGGTGCTCGACCCATTGACGTTCACGGACTTCCTGTGGATGCCCGTTCCCCCGACCGGAAGATTGCCGAAACCGCATTGCAATCTGCTCATGGCACAACTGCGAGATTACTTGCACACTGCAGTACCGACTCTGTTGATGGACGCCGGAGTAGAGGTTGTCGACCTTCACGTTTACATCGCGAAGATCGACCGCGAGTTCAAGACGCAACGGTACGATGACATTGACGCACCATTGCTATACGTACGCATTCAGATCGGAGAGGCGACCTGCAGTGCCTTGATCGATTGCGGCACATCTCGCAACTACATCAGCCAGGACTTCATGGTGCGCGCCGGCCTTGGCCCACGCGTCTGGAGGAAGCCCCAGCCTACGCAAGTCACATTGGCGGACGGTCACACGCACAAGTCAATCGACTGGTGCATTGACAGCGTCCCAGTGTACTTTGCCCCTCACGCAAGTGAGGCGGTGTCCTTTGACATTCTGGACACCAAATTCGACATGATCTTGGGCATGTCATGGCTGCGAAGCAAGGATCACCCCGTGAACTTCTTCACCCGCACCGTTCACGTTCGTGACCGGAACGGAGTATTAGTTCCATGCACGGTGCCTCTTCCTCATCCTTCGATCAGCTGCCACATGGTATCCGCTGCAAGCATGCGAGCTTCCATCATCAGAGACGACATCGAGGAGGTGGGGGGGTGTTTTCTCCACGCCCTCCCGCCCCATGACGCTTCATCGACGGACTCACCTTCGGATCCACGCATCACCGAACTTCTCGACACCTGCAGCGACGTGTTCGAAGGCCCGCACGGAGTAATACCGGATCGACCCATCCGCCATGAGATCATCCTCGAGGAAGGGGCCGTACCTCCACGCGGTTGCATCTACCGAATGAGCGAGGAAGAGTTAAGTGTGCTCCGCGCACAACTCGACGACCTTCTAGAGAAAGGCTGGATTCGGCCTAGCTCATCGCCATACGGTGCTCCTGTTCTCTTCGTCCGGAAGAAGAACAAGGACCTGCGGTTGTGCATCGATTATC